ATGATCAACATCATTAGTCATTAGGAAAATGCAAAGAAAAACCACTATGAGATACCACAAACAGACCTGTTAGACTGGAAAAAAAATTAAAAGGTGTATAACAAGTCTTGGCAAGGATGTAGAGCAACTGGAATACTCATATACTGCTGGTGGGAATGTAACATGATAGAACCATTCTGAAAGTAGTTTCTTAAAATTAAATTTTACTTTTAAATGACTCAGCCATTCTGTGCCTAGGCAATTACCTAAGGGAAATGGAAGCCAATGTTTATATAAACAATTGTATGCAAATGTTCATAGGAGCTTTATTTGTAATAGCCAAAAACTGGGATCACCCCAAATGTCCACCAATAGGTGAATAACTATTTCGATATGTTCATATAATAGAATACACCTTAGCAATAAAAAGGAAATGAATTATTGATACATGCAACAATGTGGATGAATCTCAAAATAATCATGATAACTGAAAGAATTCAGACCCTGCCCCACCAGGAAAAAACTTTGATTCCATTTAACAAAATTTAGAAAATGCAAACTAATTTTATATTGACCAAAAGCAAATTGGCGGTTGCTAGAGGACAGCAGGGGAGGAGAACCGGGAGGGATAAGAAAGAGGAATTTTACAGGAGTGTGCAGAAACCATTGGGCATGATGAATTTGTTCACTATTTTGATTTTGGTGACAGTTTTATGAGTATGTATGTTTGTCAAAACTTACTAAATAGTATACTTTAAATATGTCCAGTTTTCCATGTGAATTAAACAGTATTTTTATTCTTCAATAAAACTGTTCTTCAAACTACCAAAAAGATACCAGCTATATCTTCCCAAGTTTTACTAAAACTTTTAATTATAGGGAATTCAAATATGACAGATACATAGCATTTAGATATAATTTTCAAGAATATTTTTGTTTGCATGTTTATATCTATATGTTGTTTTTGTATAATTTTTTGAAATTCTTTAAATAGAAACCATTTATTTGATGAGGAAGTAGAACAGCAGAAACTTATATAAACTACAGGTGAGAACATAAACTGATGCAATCACCACGTAAAAACATTTCAAAGTTAAATATGTTGATGCCCTACAGTCTAGAGCTCTCTTTCTAGGTATGTATGAAGAATAGCAGCTCTCAAACTGGTCTCAAGACTCCCTTGAACTCTTAAATTATTGAGGAACTCAAAGAGCTTTTGCTTATGTGAGATATTTACTGTATTAGAAATTAAAACTGAGGGGAGGGAGGTTTCGGTGATGGTTCATAATAATCAACCACATTGTATATTGACAAAATAAAAAAATTTTTTTTTAAAAAAAGAAATTAAAACTGAGAAAGTTTTTTAAATTCACTTTTAAATAACAATTGTAAGCGCCTATTAACATGTTACATGTGAGCGTATTAACACAAATAATACTTTCAGGAAAAATAATTATTTTCTGAAAGAAAAAAGTTAAGGAGGAGAGTTGTATTGTTTTATATTTTTACAAATCTCTTTAATGTCTTGCTCAATAGAAGGCCAATGTTCATTTCTGTTTCTGTATTCAATTTGTTGGGATATACTGTTTTAGTTGAAGTGTATAAAAAAACCTGGCCTCACAACAATATGCAGTTAGAAAAATGAGAACAATTTTAGTAGCCTTTTCAGAAAATTGTGGATATTCTTTTTACTACACCACAACTTTTTAAGTGGTAGTTTCTTAAATTTAAGTTGCAATGTTGAATTTGAAACCACATCAGTGAACATTTTATATTTTGTTACATCAAAAATCCATTGGTCTGTCTTATGCTATGAATGGATCTTTTACCTATACATTATGTAGTAACATTATGCACTAGTCATTTGGAAAATATTGCTTCACTGAGGTATTTACATCTTCCAAATATTGACACATTTCATTGCACATTATCAACAAATGATAGGCCTTACTGCCACCAATGATCTTATCAGAAAAGTTTGAAGAACTGGGCTGGCCCTTTGGCTCAGTTGGTAAAAGCGTAGTGTTGTAACACCAAAGTCAAGGGTTTGGATCCCCCCGCTGGCCAGCCACAAACAAAAAAACAAACAAAAAAGGTTCTAAGTTGATTATGATGATTCCACAAACCTAAGAATATGCTAAAAACCATTGAATTGTACACTTTAAATGAATAAATTGTATGGTATGTGAGTTATAACTCAATAAAAGTTGTCTCAAAAAAGATACTTAAAAAAAAAAGAAATGTCTGAAGAACTGGAAAGCTGTCAAGCTTACTGTGGCAGACACAATTTTCTAAAATTCTAATTTCTCCTTGAAAAATTGAATTTTATATTGGCAACCAGTACTGTCATTCATTTTCTTTGAAGTGACAAGCTTACTTCCTTTATTTTCAAGAAATTAACTGCTGCATACCAAGTCTGAATCACCATGATTTGAAATCTGTCAATCATTCTTTCAAGTAAAAACAGTGGTCCATGAAAAAAAATGGTGAGTTCAGCTCACAGTTCAATCATACAATTGCTTTACCTTGAGACAAGCATTAATCTTTGTTTTGCATCAGAAGTGGTTTATTCACACTTCGCATTTAGTGACTTAGAACAAGGTCAGCAAACTTTCTCTATAAAGGGTCAGATAGTAAATATTTTAGGCTTGTGGACCAATGAATTAAGTTTGAGTTGAGTGTTGTAACTCTTCAATTGTGTCATCATAGCGTGAAAGCAGCCACAGAACAGAAGTAAATAAATGGGCATGGCTGTATTCCAATAAAACTTTATTTACAAAAACAAGAAGCAGGCAGATTTGCCCAGCAAGATGTAGTTTGCCAACATAGAATAGTAAAAAAGATGAGTATCTAAGGTTAAGGTTTAAAAACATTAATAACTTTTACTGCTTTATCAAGGACGTGCTTCTCAGAAGCATTGTATCTGTTGTCATTCTTCCATTTCCACTCCAGAGTACCCATTCTTACCTCTATTCATTATGTGATTCTCCTCTCTGAGGCTAACCTTGACATCTGAGCCCTGGATTTTAGAGCTCATCTCCTGCTTTGTTTTCAACCTCACCTCTTTTTGGCATTTTCTTCTTGGCTTAAACATGCTTAAATGTGTCCCATCTTTAAACAATAAAAAGCCTTTCCTTTGACCCTTTCCGGCTCACACCCAGTCTATGTCTGAGCTTTATCTTCTCCACTGCCAAACACGGCAGCAATCTCCTACTTGTACATTCTATTCTTGCAGTTCAGCTAACCAGGACTTTCTGTAATATTTGACACTGGTGACCTCTACTTGGTTCTTGAAATATTTGTGGCTTTTCTTAATTGGCTTCCACAATTTCACTTTCCTGGGCTTCTCTTTACCCCTCAGACTGTTGTTTCACTCACTTTTCTTCCATTCTTTCTTAAATGTTGGTCTTTCATAGCTTTGATTCTTATTTTTTATTTATACATGTAATTTTCAATGTTATCGGTATGCTCTTTGGGTTACTTCTCTTGCCCATGCAAGTGGATTTCAGCTCCCATTTAATTGCTGATGGCTCCCAAATTTGTTTATAGGCCAAATATTTCTCCTAAGCTTTAGAAGACATTTCCAGTCCCCTATCAGACTTCTCTACTTAGATCTCTAACAGCTATTTACAGTTTATCCTGTCCAAAATACTTTATATCTCCCTTGAAACCAGTTTTCAGTACATAGCATTTACTGGGTCTTAAACCAGAAATCTGGAATTGTTCAGGATTCCTTTTCTTTTCCCCTCCAATATCCATTTACTCACCTGCAGATCTTGTCAGTTGCACTTCCCAAATTTCTTTCTGCTCCTTTTATTATCTCCCTCAATCTCCACTGCCTTCTTGGTAGTCCAGGTTCACCTCATCACTGATTCTCAACTGGGCTTTCTAACTTCCTATTTTCCTGTCTTCTTGTCATCTAGTGTATGTTCTCAGGCACAGGGCTTTAGTCTAGGAGTTAAGAGCTGTTTCAGTGATGGAATATCAATTTTTAAAAACCTTATTTATGATGAAATTGAGAAATGTATGAAATAAATGTATAACTTAATGATTACTCAGCATGGATTTTGAGTTAGAATGGTGGGTTTTCTCTGCATTTATTGCATGGGATTTCCTAGGACTGGGTATCACCTGCAGTTCTCTGCAGGGTAGGTGTGGCCTGTAATGCAGTATCTGTTGTCCTGAAGAGGTCATCTGGTACTGTTGGAAGTACTTAAGTCTGCACTGTCCCAGTGTGGCTTAGCTTCTGTGCCTTACTTAGCACATGATATTTGATTGCCCCAGCTAACTTTTTGACAGCACTAACCACCTTTTCTGAATGCCAGGCACCCCCTGTTGGCCACTATATAAATTTTTTATCCCTGAGATACATTTGGAATTATACTAATAATATGTAGATGTAGACAGTGAATGTATTATAAAGATATACTCTCTTACAAACTCAGGTCATTTTATAGTAATTTAACGCGTGCCTAAAGTTCTATGAAAGCTTAGGTGGACACAGTGGAATTCTTTGTTACTATCATTCTGCCACTCATGTGACAAGTATATTTATTAGCACCCTTCAAAATTAAAATCCCAGTAAAATATGGCTTTTACTTACCATGTTTCTAAAAGTACATTTATGTTGTTGCTTTCAAACAGTGTGTAGAATTAGTGTCCACATTTGAGACATTGTGCTTGGGGTGATAACAAAGCTTAACATGAGGGATACCTTTCCTGAGATTTGTAAATTTTAAAATGGCATCAGTACGAGCAAACAGATAAATTCAGAAAAGGGTACAGAAGAAAATTCAATAGAAAAATACACTCAGGAATAAATAAATACATTGGGTAAATAATATATTTATTTGTCCACGTGTAGGAATAGTACAGTTTAATTTTTTAAAATTTTGTCATCAGCTATTACCAACATAATTTTGAGGTCGTATTTTATTAAACAAGTTTAAATGTTTATAGTTTTAAATGAATTTTTGTGTGTAATTGTTAAGATCATTGATGGATATTTTCTGTTTTCATAGATTTGATCCAGGCTACCAACGAGACCAATGTTAATATTCCTCAGATGGCCGACACCCTCTTTGAGCGGGCAACAAACAGTAGCTGGGTGGTTGTATTTAAAGCTTTAGTGACAACACATCATCTCATGGTGCATGGAAATGAGGTAAACTAAGTAAACTTAACTTTTCTTTTTTTGGTGGAGGAAGGAAGCTTTTATGGAAGAACATAGTGATGATTTAAGGCCCTTTGAATTTTCACTAATTGAGAGAAAAAGAAGAAGAAATCTACAGTTCAAATTCATCTAGAGTATAATTTTAGTCTTTTGTTAGCTATTTTTCAAAAATAAATATCAAGTTATATATTGTCTTAGAGATAATGAAGTACTAAATATTACTGGTTCCTAACCTATTAGTGGGCAAAAATGTTAGGAGAAAGGAACAATAAGACTATTTTTTCACATAGGAAATACTCCTTTGTTGCTTTGAGTGAAAATTTCTTTCATAAAGTGTTTAATTTTGGAAATATTAATAAAGTTAATATTACCCATTTTATATGGCATACCTATTGAATCCTATTAAATTGCAGTATTTCCATTATTTGCCAAAATTAAAGATCATACAATTTAATTTTAATTCAGTGAGTATTAGTCATAGTATTTTTTCTTCTCAGAGAAAGCCAACAGGCTGGGAAGCTTCATAACAGAGTGAGAAAGGTCACAACAAGAATTTTTTTGTAATTTCATTTAGTGTCAGAAATTGTTTAAAGCTATGATTTCAGAATATGGGTGTTTGATTCTAATCTTTGTTTTTCAGAGATTTATTCAGTATTTGGCCTCTAGAAATACACTATTCAATCTCAGCAACTTTTTGGATAAAAGTGGATCCCATGGTGAGAATACTTAAGTTTTATAAGTTTTTTGCTAATGCTTTGATTTTTTGAATTGAGGTTGTTAATCCAAAATCATTGCAACTGATAGCTCCATTGGATATTTAAGAAAAAAATGTAAAAAATAGCTATACGTAAATATAGTTTTAAAATCTTTAGTTGTAGGCAATTCAGCATATAAAATATTTATTAATTTTATTTTTGTCATTTTCAATGTTTGCCTTAAAAAGTAACAGTGGATGTGCTAGACCCACAGTTGCTTATGGAGGTGCAGGAGACAATGAAATAAAAGATGCTTTCCCAGTTAAAAAAAAAAGATTGCAGTCTTCAAGAAATTTTCTGTGTAGATTAATAGGGTTTGAACTGCAATCATTTATTCATTCATTATATTTACTGGCTGCCTATTATGTGTAAGGCAAGCACACCAAGCAAGTGGACTGTTGTCAGATGGCTACATGAATTAAGCCTGAAAGAGGCTGCTATTTGAAACAGTGAACAAAAATGCAAGGAAAAATCAGAAAACGTATTTTGTACAAGGATGGTAGACTAACTAATTGAATAGTTATGGAATGTCACATGTCAAAAGTATTTTTGCCTAGAAGTAGGATCTTAAATGAGACCTATCTGGTATACTTATTGACCTCATCCTAAAACTACCTCCATTAAGAGAGTTAAAAAAAAATTAATACTAAGGAAAGCACAGTTAAAGATATTTTATTAATTAGTTTTATTTCCACTTCCCCCTCTTCCAGGTTATGATATGTCTACCTTCATAAGGCGCTATAGTAGATATTTGAATGAAAAGGCTTTCTCTTACAGACAGATGGCATTTGATTTTGCCAGAGTGAAAAAAGGGTACGTTTTTTTCTTTCTCATATTAGTTTGAGGAGAATAAATCCTTGAGGCATACTTGATTTATTTTAACTAAGCTTAAATGCCAGCTGATTTTGATCATGAAGGCCCAGTTTGCAGTCACCTAAAAAAAGAAATTCAATAAAAGTATTATAGAAGTTAGCTTTTAGGCAGCAATACGCATTATTTTATTTATATCTTCAGAAAAATCTGGTTTGCAGCTCAGAGTTAACATGGTATAACATTTTGTTTGTTAAAATTAATTCAGAATTCTTAAGCACATGTATACCTTTAAATAATCTGAGAGGGAGAGAATGAAGACAAAGTTCACTTAAAAGTACAGTGGCTGTAGATGACAAGAGCTATTTAAATGTGTTTAGATTGTGGTGGAATTGAATTTGTATGCGTGGTGGTGATCTGTTCTTGAGAGGTAATACTGTCCTAGAAACACACATACACACACACACACACACACACACTCACACTCACACACTCACACACACCATAATCAAACTAATTATTAATGCTACCTATTGATTAAAAAAAACTCACTGAGGTTTCCTTCTAAGTCGATGTTTGAATTCAGTCAAAAGTGTTCAGCCATGGGCCGGCCCGGTGGCGCACTGCTACAGTGCACCGCTTGGGAGCGCAGTGGCACTCCCACCAAGGGTTCGGATCCCACATACAGACCGGTTCCCACTCACTGGCTGAGCGAGGTGTGGGAGCAGCACTGAGGGTTGCGATCCCGTTGCTGGTCCCGGTCCGGTACGGGTGCGACACTGAGGGATGCGATCCGTTGCTGGACACGAAAAAAGACAAAAAGGAAAAAAAAAAAGTGTTCAGCCAGAAGTTTGTGCAGATCTTATATCTGTTCCTAACTTGGAAAATGGCATGGTATTGTAGAAGGTTTAGTATCTTAGTCTCAAGAATCCACACACAAAAAAATATAACTCTATCTGTGTAATAGCTGACCTAACCTTACTTTGAGCTACTTTTTCATTACGGTAGTGAAAAATAGAAAGGTGCCTCTTCAAAACAAATTAGTTTCTTGTGGGTGAATACTTCATATTAAGTTAGGTTTCTTCCTTCATCTTCTTCTCATTAGAAATGATTCTAGTTTACACGCCTTCCTCTGACTTCTCATGTGGCCCTGGGCAACCATTGCTGATGTTCTCAGCTGCATTGTGACCTCTCCAGAATAGGTCCATAGCCTTCATAGAAACGTCTGCACCCCTACATGGACACATGAGGAGACTTTGGGATGCTCTCCTCACCACTGGGGTGGGAGAGACCCTGAAAGTTGCCATTCTCAACCTGTCCACATCACCTGGGTGTTTTCCTCAGCTATTGCAATACTTCTCCTCCTTGACCATAACTGGATGCAGGGGCTCCCTAAGAGGACTGGGGGTGGGTATAAGGCATAGTGCCCCTCTGACATACCCTTCAGCACTAACCTACAGTCTTGTCCTCTACAGCTAGTTAAATTCTTATCTCCATTTGGGTGAACTCTGCATATCAACATGCATTTTTCTTCACTTGATTACTAATAGCATAAACTCTGTACTCCTGTTACTATAGGTTTTGTAGACTTCCAGACATGTTTTCTTTTAATAAATAAATAAATAAATAAATAAATAAAAATTTAAAAACCTGGCTTTTTAGAATACTTATATTTTCAACACTATTACCTCTGTTACAGATTTTTAAATATCCATTCAGAAATTCAGCTGACCTCTTGTATCCAGAATGCATTGCTTTCTCCCTGAGGGCAGTGCAGATGGAAAGCAAGCACCGCCTGCATGGTTGGGGAATGAGAAAGGATAAGGGGAAGTAGTACAGAGAAGGGAGACAACTAAAACCTCCTAATACTTCAAAATGATCCCACAAGATTAATGAGGAAATGGGGAGAGGAGACAGCTTAGAAGAATGATTGTCATCTTGAATTTTCCATATACGAGGAATTTTTATCCTTTTCTTTTTTAAAAAATTGCAGGGCTGATGGTGTAATGAGGACAATGGCTCCTGAGAAGCTACTAAAGAGTATGCCAATACTGCAGGGACAAATTGATGCACTGCTTGAATTTGATGTATGTATCTCACCAGATAATGTTTTTTACACAATCGATATTGTCTTTCATTTGAAGGTGGGCTACAGGTGAATCTGGAGATTTCCTCAGGTAGCAGCTTTAGATTTCTGTGATTTAGATGAATTATATGAATACTTAGTTCATGCTGTTAAGCTCAGTAGAGATGATTTAGGTTCCCCAAATTTTCCAAGCAGTTTACCAGGTGTTTACTTTATGAGTGGTGCATTCTTAGAACTTTGTGTTCTGAGCAGGATGGTGGCCTCCTGTTCTACTTGACAGGATGAAGTATCTGCAAGTACCTTCTGGCAGCTAAAAACTTGACCTGGTGTTAGAAACTATTTTATGAGGACTGCTTACGTGACACTATACACCAAAGAATTAGTGTTGTTTTGTCATAGATAACATTGGTCCTTCCTGGCAATATCATCAGGATTTGTCTCTTAATACTACACCTGTATCTTGAATATACTAACCTACACATGTGAAAAAATTGTATATAACTAAATATACACATAAATGAGTACAGCAAATCTAGGGAAATCTGAATAAGATCAATGGATTTTATCATTGTCAATATCCTGGTTACAATATTGTATGATAGTTTATAAGATGTTACCATTGGGAGAAAGTGGGTAATGGTATATGGGATTTCTCTGCATTACTTCTTACAACTGCATGTGAATTTACAGTTATCTCAAAATAAAAAAGTTTAATTGAAAAATATCTGACTCAGGGAAATAAAACATTTTGACATGTAGGAAGATTCTTAACTCACATTGTCAGCTTTCCTGTATTTTGGTGATTGCTTAAAACAAAGATTTTTCTCAAATATTAGTAACTTAAAGTCTCTGTTAAAATTACATGGTTTAGTCTATAATTGAGTCCTACTCACAACACCTGTGAAATTTCAGTAAAAGCAGCAATCTTATTATTTTTGGGCAGATTTTGCTGTAAGGACATCACTAGATATTTGTGGAATTGCTACTTTAAAAATTTTTTTTCTTTTTATTCATTTATTTTTCTTTACTTTCCTTGCCCTTAATAAGGGTTCTGTCTTAAAGATAGAAGTCAAAAGGAAAAAAGAATAGCACCTGAGGAGTTGTGAATATAGATGTAGGAGTGAGGAGAACTTATGTGCCTTTGTGCTGGTGATTAGAGTATTTAGTGGCTGAGTGAATGTCTACGAGTCTCAAGACTATTTCAGGGGTAGCTGGCTAAGGCATTCCCTGTGCTGTTCTTTCTCACTGAGTCATCGCAGGCCCCTGGAGCATGAACCCTTTCACAAAGACCATTAGATAGGAGAAATGGAAGAAATATAATATAAAATAGTAACAGCAACAAAAGACCAGGTGTTCAAAAGTTGGATTTGATTGATCTATTGATCATTGGTCAGACAGAATGAGTGTATGTCTTTCAACTGATAGCACTAAGTTCATTTACTTAAATTGAAGCAAAAACATATGCAACCCATCTTTTGATATTGGTATGATTACTAAAAGAGTAACCTAACATTTGTAAAATTTGAGTAAATTTCTTAGTAATTATTTGAGACATTTTAAGGTGATTTGAGAAAAATTCTGATTTGATGATATGTAGCTAATATTAAATTTTCATCTTTTTCTAGGTGCATCCAAATGAACTAACAAATGGTGTCATAAATGCTGCATTTATGCTTCTTTTCAAAGATCTTATCAAACTTTTTGCTTGCTACAATGACGGAGTTATTAACTTACTCGGTAGGTAGAACTACTGAAAATGTCTGGGCTGATGGGATACGGGGTAAGACTGATAAATTCTGTGGGGTGAGTCTGTTATCTCACTCCTTGTTCAGTAAAATGAGTGCCTTGCTTGGCAGAGACCGTGTTGTGTGGGATACCGTGATAGTAAGTCGCCAGATGGTGGTGCTGACACAGTAATATAGGCAGCGATGATAAATCCATGTCTAGGAAAACTGTCTATTACAGATTGTTGCTATGTTCCCTAGTAATAGGAATTAATCCTCAACCTGTTACTTAGTGGATGGCTGGTCCCCCTGAAATATGGTGCTATGATGGAAGCTCAGCACTGATCTTGGGTGTTTGCTGACTGAGGACTCAGCAGTGGTGGTAGGCATATCAGCCTTGCTGGCGGGAAGCCTGTGCTGTTCAACATATTCATTACCTTTATTTCTGGTATCATGGCCACTTCATATAGAGTTCTCTTATCCCCGTCAGTATTGAGAGCCTTTTTGTGTTATGTGCTCTTCGGTTTGCATTCACATGGTAAAAAATAGGCTCATGCTCTTTATCCATTATGAGGGGTCCGTCCACTACCTTTTCCCTAGATCTTTTTTTCACCAATCCTCCAATTTTGTTTTTTTCAAGTCCTTTATCATCCAGGCCAACAGTTAGTTGCTACTCATAATTCCATATGTCTTGTCATATTTCCTTTGACATAAAGTGGAAAATCAGATATGCTGCTGAAAGTTTGGCCTGCTGTGATGATTTCTTTCCCATTATGAGGGGTCCGTCCACTACCTTTTCCCTAGATCTTTTTTTCACCAATCCTCCAATTTTGTTTTTTTCAAGTCCTTTCTCATCCAGGCCAACAGTTAGTTGCTATTCATAATTCCATATGTCTTGTCATATTTCCTGTGACATAAAGTGGAAAATCAGATATGCTGCTGAAAGTTTGGCCTGCTGTGATGATTTCTTTCTACTGTCAAGCTCACCCTATTATGGGGATGTGATTCAGCAGATCACTTCCAGCTGGTACTAGCATGAGGAACCATCTCTAAATTGAACTTGAATTTTTTCTTCTTCAGTCAGCTGGTCATAAGGAACTCCCCAGAGGCCAAAGGTGTGATATGAGGGAGAAATGGGAGAAATGGCAGTGCAGAAGAGCAGGTATACTGGCAGTGTGAACCTTCTGTTCATGCAACCTACCTGATTATTTGCAACCTACCTGATTATTCACAACCTGCTTGAGGCTGATCTCTTATGTACCACTTCCATTTGATAATGGAGTGTTCTTGCACTTGTCCAACTTTATGGCTTGGTACATTAGATAACACCCACTTTAGGTCTGATGAACGTTTGGTGCTCTGTGGTGATGATCTCAGTCTCTAGAAGTCTGCCAAGAGTAATTTTCCAAAGGAGATTAGTTAATAATTTAAGAAGACATGGCTCTATTCCAAAGCACCAGAGGCCTGTACTGGAACGTGCTAGAGGCACTCTGCAGCATTTAGGTCTGCTGAACACACTCTGAGTACCTTTGGATCTGCTGGAACAAAGATTCATGTAGCTTCAGTTTGGAGCAGTTGCAGAGTCTTCCACTGATCTGGGCCCCACTCATATCTGACACCATGCAGATGCCCTGCTTAGAGCAGTATACACACATGTTCTATATGTTGCTTCCAAAACCAAAGTAGCTCAGAAAAATTTAGCCTCCATTTTAGTTACAGGGGGTGCAAGGTGCAAAATTTGTCTTTCACATGGAGGGGATGTCTCTGAAATGCCCAGACTTTGGGACCTTCAAAACTTCATTGAGGTGGCAGGTCCTTGAATTCTCATGGATTATAACTTCCACCCTTTGATGTGCGTGTGACTTATCAAGGGATCTAGCATACCTGCAATTCTTATCCACTATGTACAATCAGCCTGACGTCATCAAAGTGATATCCTATGGGATTATGACAGTCAGAGAGATTGATATCCCTGAAATAAGAACAGTAAGAGTATACTGGCATCCCTGCCAGATGATTGCAAACTCCTTCTCATGGTCCCTTCTTACTGGGGTAAAGATAAAAGGGTTTTCTCATTAAATAGCTGCCCATGAGGTGCCGGGAGTTGTGTTGATTTTCCTCTGGTAAAAGATGATACATCTGGATCTCTGCAAGTAGGAATCATCAACTGATTACAATAACCTACTGTTAACCTCTAAAATCTATGCATCTTTTACACAAACCAAATATACAAGTTAAATGGGCATGTGATGGAATTGCTACCCCTGTATCCTTGCAGAGATCAGGAAACCAGTGTGGGGATTATGCTGGTTTCAAAGTATGTCTATTCAAACTATGTGTTCAGGAAACTGAGGAAGTAACCATAGATAGTTTTGTGCATCCACTGGATCTAATTTTATTTTGTAATTTAATGTAGTCTTTTATAATTTATAAAGCCTCAATTCACATCAGTAGAACATATAGCGACATTTTGGATCCTCAGGGAGTAGCATCATCTTAGAATCAGTGTCCCTGAAAAGTCTGGATGAAACCAACATCGGCTTCCACATGTAAGAAGTTTAGAAGTCACCACTCTGTCCTAGAAGCAAGTAAAAAGCTGAACAGACTGAAAAATCAAAAACCCTTCTTGGATCCACAAGAGAGGTGAGGACACAGGGCAATACACTGCTCCCAAGATTGGAGTAGTAGGCGAAAATAGGGAGTCACCATTGACCCGACCAGGGACTCACAAGTGGGAACGGCCATGGGAACCAGTGCTGAGGCAGGAAAACCTGAGCTGTAATTGACCAAGTGCTGGAGGCTCAGTGAGAGTTAAAAACATCTGAGAGTTAAAAACGTCAAGGGTACCAGGTTCTCATAGTAAATATCGGAGAAAAACCCCCTTGTGCTTATAGCAGAGGGAGAGGAAAGGAAACCATTTTGAAACATGCAAGAGCACTGTGTTCTTCTTAAGAAGGTCTAGCCTCAGGAGAAACTATTTAACCAGAGCCTAACCTGCTGGGATTTTACCAGAGCCTAACTGACGTATGGAGCTGGGAAATACCCAACTCCAACCAGCTCTGGTTTTCCACATGATGAAGGGGAAAAACCTAACTCCAGCCCACTCTATCCATCCTGTCCCATCTAAGGTGGGGGAAGAAAAACTGAGATGCTCATGTGAAGTTCACGTGCAGAGCATAGACTAAAAGACTCAGACTAATCATAGCACTACCCCTTCTCCCACAGCTTACCATTACATACTAATGGCCTTTTTACAGCAGTACCTTTTACCTTGTACATCTTGTCCAGCTATCAAGAAAAAATGACAAATCACACTAAAAGGCAAAAAACAATTTGACAAATCACACTAAAAGGCAAAAAACAATTTGAAGAGACAGAGCAAGAATCAGAACCAGACATGGCAGGGATGTTGGAGTTATCAGGCTGGGAATTTAAAGCAACTATGATTAATATGCTATGGGATCTAATGGATAAAGTAGGCAGCATGCAAGAACAGACGGGCAACATAAGAACAGAGAGGGAAATTTTAAAAAAGAAACAAAAAGAAGTGCTAGAGATCAAAAGCACTGTAACAGAAATGAAGAATGCCTTTGATGGAATGCCTTTAGTAGTAAACTGGATATTGCTGAGGAAAGAATCTCTAAGCTTGTGCATATATCAATAGAAAACTCCAAAACTGAAAAGCAAAGAGAACACACACACACAAACACACACAAACAAACAAACAAACAAAAAAATCCCAGAATATGCGAGGACTGTAAGACAACAACAAAAGGTGTAACACGTGTAAGGGGGAAAATCAAAAGAAGAAAGAGAAAAAAACAGAAATATTTGAAATAATAGTGACTGAGAACTTCCCTAAATTAATGTCAGACACCAACCACAGATCTAGAATCTCAGCGAACACCAAGTGGGATAAATGCCAAAAACATTACAATGAGGCATGTTATCTTAAAATTACAAAAAATCAAAGATAAAGAAAAAATCCTGAAAGAAGCCAGAGGGAAAAAGAACCTTACATGTAGAGGAGCAAAAACAAAAATTACACTTAACTTTTCCTCAAAAATCATACAAACAAGAAGAGAGTATAATGAGATGTTTGAAATGTTCAGAGGAAAAACACTCACTAACCTAGAATTCTGTATACTGTGATATTATCCTTCAAACAGTGAAGGAGAAATAAAACTTTTCTCAAACAAAAATTGAATCTGTTGCCAGTAGCACTACATTGCAAAAAATTTGAAAAGAAGTTATTTAGAGAGAAAGAAAATGATATAGGTCAAAAACTTGGATCTTCATAAAGAAAAGAGGAACATCAAAGAAAGAATGAGTAAAGGTAAAATAAAACTTTTTTTATTCTTAATTGAGCTAACAGATAACAGTTTGTTCAAAATAATAACAACAATGTATTCATCATGTATGTTTATGTATATATCATATATATGCTTTTGTATGCTATGTATAGGTAAAATGAATGACAACCATGGTAGAAGGGATGGTAGGCAGGAATTTTGTTCTGTTGAGAATGCCTTCCCAAAGTCTCAAACAACACTTCTACATAGAGGGGGTGGGGCAAGATGGCAGACTAGCGGTGCCCAGCGCACAATCTTCCCACAGAAAGGAACCAGAGCAAGGAATGGACAGCTAAGTACAGGAAACAACATTGGTGGGAGAGCATGGGAGAGTGGCAGGAGCCTAATGAGGACCCTGTGGAGCATGAAAACCTAGCAGGCTGCTGTAAAGGAGAAAGGGCTATGTGGCTTCAGCTGCTGCCATGTCTCTGACACCAGGACCAACCAGGAGGACTTCTCCCTTGCAGCAGAAAGAATCCGCTAGGCCGTGAGCACTTCTCAAGGGTAAGTCTCCTCTTGCTCCTGCCCCAGTCCACCCCCACCACAGCAGCAGTCACCTGTGCCATTGTCTAGTTTCAGAGCTGTGGCCTTTTTCCCCACACGGGAGTTCATCCTGCACAGTGCACCCCACTGTGCAGTCTACATGGCCCACATGACTCCA